TTTTGCGGTACTCGGGCCTCTGTTGTGTCCTCTCCCGTTGCGGAGCACAGGCTCTGGATGCACAGGCCCAGTGGCCATGGCCCACGGGCCCAGCCGCTCCGCGGTATGCGGGATCCTCCCAGACCGGGGTACGAACCTGTGTCCCCCGCATCGGCAGGCGGACTCTCAACCACTGCGCCACCAGGGAAGCCCTATAAAATTTTAATTAAAAAAAAAAGAATACTCCATGTGGCTAGTGACCACCAGATCGACCAGTGCAGATCTGCAAACCATGCATATACCTATTATTTAGGAAACTAATTGCAGTGACATCAAGGGAATTTGCCATCCCCACTGACCTTGAGAGCACTTTGGGGATGAAAAGGTGTGAAAGAGGTGGGACTTTCAAAGCCAAGGTCAGATGTGTGGAACTGCAGTGTCGACCCATGGAAATGATGGTGAGTTTTCAGGTACGAACAGGAAGCAGTGTTTCCGGTTGTGACCGTCATTTGATTTTCTTTTCACAGGCTCCTTCATGTTGGTGAACACGTCTCGGAGATCTGAGGGACAGAGAGCCCACCTCCTCTTACCTCAGCTCAAAGAAAATGACACCCACTGCATTGATTTTCACTACTTTGTATCCAGCAAGAGTAATTCTGCTCCCGGGTTACTCAATGTCTACGTGAAGGTCAATAACGGGCCTTTGGGGAACCCTATTTGGAATATATCTGGAGACCCAAACCGTACATGGAACAGGGCAGAGCTGGCCATCAGTACTTTCTGGCCTAACTTTTATCAGGTATGCCCTTTATTTTTCATTTCCTGTTTTGATGCATCCTCTAACTTCTGAAAATATAAATCAGTTTTATATTAGTCTAATCAGAGAATGTATTAGAAGTGTTGGTATTTTTAGACCAAGGTGAGGAAAGCTTATGCTCGTGGATAGGGAGTGTATTAAGGCTTTGTTTTTACATTACTTTGAGAAATGAGTAAAATGCACCATTCAAACTTGTTTATTTATATATCTATTTAAGAAAATAAAAGCAGCCACCTGTAGCAGGGCAGGAAATGCTGTCTGCAAGGATGTTTTACTTTCTATGTTAAGTAGCCACATCTGACCCAGGGAGACAGAGCACTTGATGGTAGAAGTAAAAGCCTCTTCTTCCAGGAGTGGATCTCAGGAATCATGGGTCATTAGGAAGTGAGCCGTAGTGGAGGTCAGCTGGTGAGATGCAGGGCCCTGCTCCCACCCCATCAGCAATGGGAAGAAAATGGCATGTAGACCGAGTCCTTGTCATGGAGGAGCTGCTCTGTGGGATGTTCTGTTGGGACCACATTGCCCACCTGGAGTGGGCACTTAAAGGAAATGAAGGGTGCAGGCCAGAAGCAGTTAGAAAGCGGTACCAAGGAGGTCCCGCTGGTCTCTCCATCCTCTTGGAGAGGGCCTGTGCCCCAAGAGCATCCCGACATGGCGTCAAAGGTGGGACATTAGTGGCGGTGGCGTTCCGTGTGCTTTCTCCTTTTGTCCACAGCCTCTTTGAAAATAACTTCACGTTAAGAACTCAATTAATTTCAAGCTAAGAGGGTGAATTAAGAGAATTGCAGTATTTTGATTTTCTCTTTCTTAATTCCTTTGGCTCACTCGGAAGCCAAGGGGAACATGTATCCAAGATCATCTCTCATGGTTAATTGAGGTGCTTGGCTAGACCCAGGGATGAAAGACTGAGTCTTCTCAAGGGCTGCTTGTCATCTGAGCGGCATGATTGGCACCCAGGAACCCACTCTGCAGGCTTGGTGTTTATTAGGGAAGATTTATCAATCCCAGTTCCTCTATCCCTAGGTTTGATCATGGTAATAAATGGGCTGTAAATTCTGTGCTGTTTTTTTTTTTTTACATCTTTATTGGAGTATAATTGCTTTACAATGGTGTGTTAGTTTCTGCTTTATAACAAAGTGAATCAGTTATACATATACATATGTTCCCATATCTCTTCCCTCTTGCGTCTCCCTCCCTCCCACACTCCCTATCCCACCCCTCTAGGTGGTCACA